TTAGCATGGAAGAGTCACGCGTGCCACACGATAAGCGAAGCAACCCCGCATTTGAAACAAAACACCAGTAGTGCTAAGACTTTGAGGAATAACAGCATAAAACTGGTGTAAAGTTGTGGAAGTGTTCAAAAGATAGGTGAGATGTCCATTGATATGATAAGTGTTAAAAAGCCCGATCATTTTACGTTTTGGGGATAAATTTTTGGTCACATCAGTTGGCCATTTGCTATAGATTACATCTATGGCAGAATGTGCCTATAGCCCTGCGGCAGCGATCCGCGGCGTATAGTACTAAGAGCTAGTTCTCACTAGTACCTACTCTAGTACTAGTACTAGAGTTAGTAAGTAGGTATTGTCTGACATAGCCCAACCAGGCTGTGAGCGACTGGATTGCTCCTATACAGTCCTGTACAGCCCTCTCCATGAACAAATAACCTATTCAGCTCTGTGCAGCATCAGATAATAACTCTGTATATCTAATAATTATTTGAGTTCGTATGTATGATGTATCTATGTTCCTATGGTAATCTTCCCTATAGGCGGTCAAAACCGCCCAAGCGATCTTGTGATGCACATTTTCAACGGCGGCCAGGGCCATCATCTTATACCCACGGCGCGTTCGTAGCTGACAAAAACCTGTTCAAACGTCAAAGCTCGCCGCACACCAAATCGCCGTGACAAAATCGCCCGTCAATTCGTGAATCTTCACTGACAATGTCCAGCACAGGCCTAGACTATTGATTTTCCTTGCCCGTCGACCTCATGAGTTCATCCAGCTGCTCGGTATTGTGAAAGCCGAAACCGAATGCGAAACTAATAAAACAGAGCGATAAACCACGACCTAGTTCAGAGGTACTAACTTCACTCTCAGTTCCAGAGTTTCGTTCAGATGCTACGATCTTGAGAATGCATTGTACGGCATTCGCAAAAAGCTAATGCATTTTCTGTATTCAATACAAATTTTATTTATTTCAATGTGCATGCCTTGCACGCAAGCATTCACTACGACAATATCCAGTAGACACAGACCCCACCTGCGCTGGCCTGTCTCTATCTAATTACTATATATCGAATTTCTTTTATTCGGCGTACGATCCACATATGGATAGCTGTACGTGGGGAAGCTTAAAGCAGTTGGATACGCGCTACGAATCTCTATCATATCTGCACACAGAGAATAACAGAAAAACAATGTTTATCAAGAGTATTTGAAACGAAAAGTCCAACCCATTCGTACATGGCTGTTATATAAGCAATAGCTTTTTGGTCCATTTACTCCGATATTACTTGCTGGAGAGGGTCTGTGTCCGCCCCCCGCCCGCCCCGGGATACGCGGCATACCGTACCCTGGGTAGGCGGTGGGGGTATACCGGAACGTACCCTGGTAACTACGGATCTAATATGCGCAGGACCGTAACCTCGCCCTATCGTCCCACTAACCGGTCTAGGGAGTCCGCTACGCCTACTCCCATAACCCCAACCCTAACCCTAACCATATCAAATAGCCACCAGGTACGTTCCGGGTATAACCTGGGGGACATAGACCCTATGAGCCACATTACTATTAATATTATGTCTCAGGTGTTCCTAGTTTGGGTGTGCTGTCATATAAATGGTCATACGTAACAGTTTTTTCTCCCATGCGTTATTATCTTATTAGACCCGATTTCTAAGATATTGATATTAGGGGTGCAATGTCATTGTCGATTGTTGTACCCAAGTGTTGCGCTACTGTGTGTCCCCATTAATTAGTATAGTAGTAGTGAATTTATGTAGCGACGATTTTACCCAGCGGGCAGCGAGGTAGCCCCAGGGCAGCTATAGTCTAGATATATATTTGAGTTCGTATGTATGTATCTAATGTATCTTCCTATAGCGGACCAAAACCGCCCAAACGCGATCTGGATGCATTTTCACAGGGCCATCTCTCTATACCCTGGGCGTGTTCGTAGCTGAAAAAAACCTGTCAAAAACCAGTCAATACTCGGCCGAAAAATCCGGTCGGAAAAACGCCCTCAATTCGGCCAAATTTTCACACAATGTCAAGCACCGCTATGCTATGATGTTTCGTTGCCCTCACCTCACTGATCCATCAGCTTGCTGTAATTGTGAAACCGAAACGGAAATTGAAACTAAAAACAGAGCATAACCACGGCAGTTTCAGGAGGTACTATCACCTCAGTATCACACCAAGTGTTCGGCTTCAGGATGGCTAGCGATGATGAGAATGCATTGTACCATTCCATAAGCTAGTGCTATTTTCCTGATTCAATACAAAAATTTCTTATTTTAATGTTGTTGCATGGGTTGCCGCCAAGCATTCACTAGACCAATACCAGTGGACATCAGAGCCCCCACTCGCTGGCCTGTCTCTATCTATACTATATAATGCGGGAATTTCCTTTTATTCCGGTACGATGCCTCACAATGGATAGCTGTACGTGGGAAGCTTAAACAGGTTGGATACGCCACGAATCGTCTACATAAAAATTTTCCACCAGAGAATAACACGAAAAACCTTGTTTATACTAAGAGCTCTTTGAAACCGAATAAGTCCAAGCCCATTCGTTACATGCTGTATACATAACAATAGCTTTTTTGCTCATATTACTACATAATTACTGCTGAGAGGGTTGTGTCCCCCCCCCCGCCCCGGGATACTGCGGGAAACGTACCCTGGGTACAAGTGGGCGGTATAACCGGAACGTACCCTGGTACTATGCTAATATGCCGGACCGTACTCGCCTACTCGCACTAACGGAGCTCTAGGAGTCGCCTACAGCCGCTACTCGCCTAAACCCCAACCCCTAACTAACCATATCAAATAGCCACCAGGGTCGTTTCGCGGTATACCGCTGGGGGACACTACGACCCTATGAAGCCATATTACTATTAATATTTATGTCTCAGGTGTTCTAAGTTGGGTGTGGCTGTATCAATATAAATGTCCATAACGTAACAGTTGTTTCCCCATGCTTATTATCTTATTAGACCGATTTCTAAATAGATATTGGGTGCAATTGTACATTGTCCAATGTTTAGGTGTAGGGCAATCTTTCCTACGGTGTCCGCATTATTAGTATAGTAGTACCTGAATTAGGTAGCACCGGATCTTTGTAACCCAGCGGCAGCGGTCACGCGCCGCAGCTAGTCTCAAATAAAACACTATTCCCATTACCACCCTTTGACTTTGCCTTGTTTACAATATGCAACTTAACTCAACAGTTGTCCTGCTTCCTAAACTAGAATGTATCTCTTAATTCACGTATAATCTAATAAGTCTCACAGCATATCAACTTTCAAATCAGCTTTAACCCGCCATGTTCTAGCAAGGATCGGAAACCCCGCGAAAACGGAATATGACTCCGCTAGAAAGATACTACAGGACAATAGTACGATGGCTCTCACAGGGCTCGAAATTAAGCGGACGAGAAAGGGCAAGGCGAATTTTTTTAGGGGCACGTGAAAAATGGCCCCTTTGAAATTTTCTCATAAAATGGAAGGGCACCAGAGGCAATTTTCAAAAGGCACCAAGGCAACTTTTCAAAATTTGAGAAAGGGGCACCAAGGCCACTTTTGTAAAATAAAGGAAAACTCAAACAAATTAGTTACATCAACCATCGTCTTGATTTTAATGTCAAAACAATATGCCCCATGTAAGCTTACAGACCGTAACACACCGACGCCTTGTACCCCCTTCTGCTAATGGAAGTACACGTACTTCAACCGAATAATTTTTATATGGGCCCGCTATCAGGAGTGAATAATTATCGCGATGCTGTTATTGTTCCCTCCTGCGACTGATCGGTTTTAAGCTCATCATTGGCAACTACAGCACGCACGGCACGTGTTATGTTTGATTCGACTAAAACGAAACTAGGGGCAGTAGATTTATAAAGGGCAAGCCGACGGCAATTACACGAAAAGGGCAAGGCAGGTGACTGCTGTCCGGTCGAGATTGGATTTTCAGGGGCAGTACGGCAAGTGAGTAAGGGCACCGACGGGCAATTGCCAGTCCGGTGGCCGGGTCGTTAATCCGAGCCTCCTATGCTCTCAAGGGCAATTACACACCAAAGCAAGTGAAACGATAGTCAGAAAATGTCTGCGGCCATTTGTAAAAAACCTTAGATGAAACATGTTGCCCTCGGATGTAGGGGTGGTTTAGCATGACGAGCGCAGATCCGTTAAT